AATATCTGCAGAGCAGAACCTGTCTTCCACAGCAATTATTTTTAGTTAGCATATAGCCAAAATCTATCAATAGTTATATAATAGCAGCTACATTCTGGCGCGATAAGCTGTATGTTTTATATTCARTTAACGTATGATCTGATTAGTCGACTAATTGAAAAAAATAATCGGTGATTAATCGACTATAAAAATAATCGTTTGTGGCAGCTCTAATATGTAATGTATATCCCACATAAATCTTCAGGCTACATAAGTCTGATATGTCCTGCTGGAGTGTGACATGATTTGTGTCGTGCAGCTGTGATGGATTGTGTACAAACTAATACAGTGTTAAAATGGTATATCTACTGTATATTTATATGTCTCATTCAACCACAATTAGATTCACTCTATCCAGGAGGCAGTTTATCTTTACAGTATTTTTTTTAATAACAAGCCAAATGAAAACAAGCAAAAATTAAATAAAAGTAATGACTTTCTACTTCTTGCTCTTTTTAAAAATGTAAGAAACAGAAAGTACAGATAATTGTGTGAAAATGTAAGAAGTAGAAGTCAAAAGTAGGCTGAAATATAATTAAGTAAAGTACAGATATCCAAAGATTTTACTTAAGTACTGGAACAAAGTAATTGTACTTAGTTACTTTACAGCTCTGCCAATACTTAGGTGTTTCTAAATATGATACTTATGTCTGAACACTTGTGTTTGTTTCTGTTTTTTAGACCTGTTACTACGTCACTTAGTGACAAAGTCGTTCTCCAGGACTGTTTGGAAATTGGGCGCAAAGCTGTGGTAGAAGAGTTTTTGTGATACATATTTGTATAGACAGCTCYGTGTCTTGTGCTTTTGAACTGAGACTTTAAAATGGTCATCTCTCCCTGCAGGTTGACAAGGTTCGCACAATCACAACAAAGTTAGACTGCGTACGTCATAGGAAGACGGGGAGTCTTCCTGTCACCATGAATGGGAAGGAGGACAATCTGTGGTCCTCAGAAATGGAACTGTAAGCCTGAATCCCATGTCCCAGTCTTTTAGACTTAGAGTCATGAATTTGTGGTTAAAATATTCACAGTGAAATGAAACACCCCTTCGAAATGCTGATATGTCATCATTTGTTACAAACTCAGACACTGACAGACATGTGTTATGCAAAACCAACTTTTTTGAGCTTTATATCATGTTATAAGGTCATTCCTTCGTCAACAACATACACAGAGTGTTGCTTTGACTCATTCATGCATGTTTGAGAAATCCTTGAATTTTCTGTAGCCATCTGGAGCTGTCTAAATGCTTGCTGATACAAAGCTCCACCTATTTACACAAAACTCCTCCCTGGAGCTCAGTCTGAGGCATATATTTAGATTCTATACTATAATAAAGTAACTATGTCACCTTCAGTTGTTATTAAAATGTTGTTTATATG